GGGGGGCACGGCGACGAGGCCGGAGGGGACGTGCTGCTCGGGGCTGAAGACGGTGCTGAAGACGGACGCGCAGTGCCTGTGCGAGACCTTCCGCAACAGCGCCCAGCTCGGAGTCACCCTCAACATGACCAAGGCCTTGGCCCTTCCCGCCGCCTGCCACGTCTCCGCTCCTGCTGCTAGCAACTGCGCCGGTCAGCTCTTTTTTTTCCCCCTTTTTCTTTAGTTTCCTTATCTTTTCGGCTTAAATTATGTGTTTATTTGTTTACTTACAAATGTGTTTTTTTCTTACAACAGTGAGCACCGCCATTGGTGCTGCCCCAGGTACTCCAATCCGACCACCTTCTTTCAATCCTTAAATTCATCAACCACATTGCATGTTTGTGTCTCAACAATAAATTTGAATTTCCGACAAATTATTTTCACAATCTCAACTGAAATAAATTAGATAAATTTGCTTCCTCATTTTTTGTCCCTTTGATTTATACTCACTTTTACTTATTGGGAATTAATTAATGTGGGCTCGTCTTGAAATTTGAAAACTAATTTAATTACAGCCTGTCTAGGGATAGAAATCATAGAATCCCGACATTGTGTTAATAATGGACTAGATCAAAATGACTCAATTAAATTTTAGTGTTCTTGTATTAGTAATATATCAAACGACTCAATGCACCTTGAGTCGCTACAAAAATAGCCTCCTTTATAATTACAAAGAGTAAGGTCTACATACAATTGAATCTCGACCCCAACCAGTTCGGAATATACTGGCTATTTTGTTGTTGTTGTTGTATAGAATCCTGTCTGGTACCAGGTCGTCCGGGTTTGTTTTTACCTCCTTATTTTCCTCTTTTGTGTAATGAATTTTAGGGTAATTTTTGTTTACTCTGTAATGTTCATCGTTTGGGGTTTGAATCATTGAATGCTTTTCTCTGTCTGTGTGTGTCATTATTGCCTTTCTATTAAATAATAATTAAAAAAAAGCTGGGGAGAGATAGGTGATGGCCCACTCCTATGATAGCAGTTGACGGTGGATCTCATCCCAATGGATTGGGGCCCACCATCTTATTCAAATCCAACGGCCCAGGATGGCCCTAATTTAATTTACTAATTTAGCTCAATTCAGTGGATCATTCTTCTTGGTCAGTTGAATGTGTGTAGAAGTC